CATGGTGAAACCCCATCTCTACTAAAAATACAAAAATTAGCTGGGCATGGTGGTGGGCGCCTGTAATCTCAGCTACTCAGCAGGCTGAGGCAGGAGAATCGCTTCAAACCGGAAGGTGGAGGTTGCAGTGAGCGGAGATCGCACCACTGCACCCCAGCCTGGGCAAAAGAGTGAAACTCCATCTCAAAAAAAAAAAATGTCAGTCTCTCTTTTAATGATCACTAGTAGGAAAACAGTATCTATTTCTCTCATTTCCTTAATATTTCATAACACTGAGTGCACTTTACAAGCTGTCCCTACTCTCATCCCTGCCCAGAAGAGGGTTGTACACCTCAGCTGAGAATCACTGTTCAATATCCTGATGCTTCTTGCCTTTTTTTTTCAGACTGGGTCTTTCTCTGTCACCAGGCTACAGTGCAGTGGCACAATCTTGGCTCACTGCAGCCTCCAACTCCCAGGCTCAAGCAATCCTCTCATCTCAAGTCTCCTGAGTAGCTGGGACTATAGGCACGTGTTACCACATCCAGCTAATTAAAAATTTTTTTTTGTAGAGCCTAGGTCTCGCTTTGCTGCCCAGGCTGGTCTCAAAACTCCTGGCCTTCTGCCTTGGCCTCCCAAAGCGCTGGGATTACAGGAGTGAACCACTGAGCCTAGCTTTGCTTTTTGACATTTTTTTTTCTTTTTTTGGCCCCAAGAGTCATAACCCTGACAGTTCTTCAGGGGATCCAGTAGGACACTCCACCCAGTTGCCTATACTGCTGCCTCCATCAGGGGACGGGGGACAGCAGGTGCCTGCCTCATGTGCCAAGAGCTCTGAATGGCTCGCCCCCTCTCCAAGCATGGAGGTGATGCAGACCAGAAAGAGGCAAGGGAGGCAAACAGAGAGGGGAGCCCTTGAGGGTGGGGACAGGCTTCTTTTTGTCTGATACCTTCTGCAGAGCTCTGGGCCCTACTCACCATCTTTGAGGCTAGAGACACCCAGGGCCTGGGCAGTGTGCAGTGTGAGGCGCTTATGTGCGTCCTGGATATAGGCCATGACTGGCATGGGATAGAAGTTGGCCTGGAGGGGGAGCTTCTTCAGATACCGTCGGGGCTGCACCTGTGGGGGCAAGGTCAGCAGATCAAGGGCACCAGGTGGGCCCCAAGCAGACCCCAGATGGAAGGAGTCCCTGATCACTCTCGCCTCTTCATTCCTCTTTCTCCATCAGGACAGATCATCCCCCAGGGCCTGTGATAGGGTCAAAAGCACAGTCCAAGTTCTACTCTGTGGGGTCTCCGAGACCCAGGCCCAGGAGTCACCTGAAAGCCATTGAGGTCTGTGAAGAAGATACCCTGGCTGTCGATGTCTGTATGGATGCGCAGGGCCAGCTCCTTGTTGATGTAGTCCCGGATGTCCACCAGGGATGATATGTCCAGAGACAGCCCCTCCACCCCTGGGCACAGGAACAAAGTGGTGGCATGGAGAGGTGTGAGGCTGAACCACAGCTAAGAGGCTGGGCTGGGGGATCAGAGCCGAGCTGGGGAGAGGCTCTGTCCACCCTCCCAAGAAATTCCCAGGGCATTTCTGGATGACTTTTTCTCCAAGAGAATGGAGCATCCCTGTCTCAAATGATATGGAACAGAGGTATGAACAGAGAAGCAGCAGAAGGAAGAACACGCCACAGCTGTAGAGCCCACACCTCCTTCCACATAATTCCTCATGGGCGGGGCTCACCTGGCAGATTGTAAAGCCGGACCACCTGGTGAACATGCTCATAGTATGCAACCACCTCTGAGAAGAAAGGGCCTTCAGTGACATGCAGCACAGGGGGCTCCTTGGGGACATAGGGCTGGGGAAAGAGCAGACTGCTATTGAAACTATGGCACAGAGGGCAAAGCAGGGAGGTGCCAGCCGAGGGCTGGGCAAGAGAGCACCTATTCCTAGATACCCCTGGGCTGAACAGGAAAGACAAGGCCCCTGGCAGGCAGCAATAAACCTGTGGGAAGGCCTGTGCCCCCTCCTGCCCTCCCTGCTGGTGAGACCTCCCAGGGCCTGCCAGGTTGTTCAAGGCATATTTAGCATACCTTGGCCTCGCCATCGGGCAGGAAGAGGTAGGCTCCACTCTTGTCTTTGGACGTACGGGTGCCATAGACTAGGAATTCCATGTCCACCTGCTGCTCCTGCTCCTCATCCACCCTTCGGATGCTCTGCCAAAAAACACAGCCCTGACCCCTGGCCCCACACCAGCATGTCAGGCCTGCCTCCTGGGAGGACATGGACTAGCTTCCCCAAGGAGCCACGCCCAGCTTCCCCATGCTGTCAGGCTGGAGCTGAGACGTCCCAGGCCTGGGTCCACTGTGGGTCAGGTGGCAGAATGCTCAAAGGGCCGGGAGGCCACTCTGCACAGTGCCACCACCACACACGCCCTGCTCTGGCCCCTGGCCCTTCCCCACCATCCTGGCCTTTTACCTTGAGGAGCCCAGTAAGGCCTGAGAACCAGACCTGCATGTAGCGGTTGCTGAGGGCGAAGTCACTGCTGCCAGAGTCAATGACGCGGAGAGGGAACGCTTCGTGCCTGCTGACAGACAGCTGCCGGCCGTGCAGGTAGACACGCACAGAGGAGGGCAGCGTGCGGTGCCCATCCAGGCCCAGCTGTAGCTGCAGCACGCCCAGGCCCAGGGCTGGCAGGCGGACAGGCACAGACACCTGTGGGCACAGGAGGGGTGAGGAAGTGGGGGCATGGCATTCGCCACAGGGGTGCTGGGGCATTTGCTTACTAACAGAGGGCGTGAGCAAGTCCCTGTACCCACTGGGGCCTCTGCCCCACCTCCAAAGTGGAGGTGATATGATTTGCCCTTTCTTCCTCTTCAGACGTTATGATTCTCAAGTGATATTTGAAAAAGTATGAAGTGGTAACCACACATTAAGCTTTCGATATACATCAATTGACTGAATGATGGGGCATTATAACTGCTATTTTTACCATTACTATTACCATACCAACCTTCCCCTTCTTTTCAAGGACAGACTCAAATCCCAAGAGTACCTGTCTGCTGGACAACCCCCTTCCCAGCACACCTGTCCTCAGCCTGGGGAGTAAGCAGGGCCATAAGCAGGAGGGTGGGAAGCTGGCGTCGCCAGGCGGGGAGGGGCCCACGATGGGCAGAGGGCCAGGCTCACCTGACGAGCCCGCACCTCACCTGGTAGACATCAGGGACCACCTCAGTGGCAGAGCTCCAGTGTGCGCTGATCTGCACGGCCAGGGGCTGACCCTCCTCCGAAAGGACGCGTACACGGGGCGAGTTGACCAGCAGGGACACCATGCTGAACCGCTCCTGTTCCAGCGGGTTGAATAGCACCACAAACCTGTTGTGCATAGAAGGTGGGCTGACCCAGGAGGCCACTACTTCCGGTCAGGGCAAGCACCCTGCAGTGGTTCAGCACACACTGGGGCAGAGGGGCCTGAGAGCCAGGGAATGGCTCTGCCTCTCTGCACCTGGTGTAGTCCAGCTTACCTGGGCGAGGAATCCAGCTGGATCACTGTGCGCTCTGGCAGGGCATCGTGACTTAAGCGAGTGTCATCCTGGAATTCAGTGGGCCAGAAGGGAAGAACCGTCATGGGCTCAGCCTCCTCCCACCCCGCCTGCCCCGGGTGCGGACCAGCAGCTGCACTGGGCACAGAACTCATTCAGGTGGGGAAGGAAAAAGAGGAGTGGCACCCTCATCCAGTAGCTCTTGGGATGCCACCTGCACACACCGGAGGGTCCCCATGCAGACCCACGAGGGGCTCACCACTTGGAGGAAGGGTGCCTCAGGGTCAAAGTGGTAGGTCTCCTTGTCCCCCAGCACCAGATAGTGAGCTGCATGAATGATGACCTGCTTCAGGTTGACAAGGGAGCGCAGAAGCCTGTGGGTGGTGCAGGAGAGGGAAGGAGAGATGATCATAGGGAAGCCGTCTGCTTTGTCAGCAGGACAAGCCCTAGGCCGACCTATCCCCTGACCACCCAACATCCCTTCTTTGGGACAGTGAGCGGGGGACCTGACAAGGGAGAAGAGAAGGCTCCCACCTGACCCCATAGTCCACCACCACGGCCTCCTTGGCAGTGCCAGTGATGGCGTCGTGATGCTGGAAGAGCCCCAATGTGCGCCGAGCTTCCGTCAGGAGGGTGAAGTCAGACAGCGGGTACCGGCCAGCCAGGCCAGAGTGGCGGGAGTGAGCTGCAGCCAGGCTGTACAGAACCTCTGCCCCCCTGCCCAGAGAGAGAAGTTAGCTGCCAGCCTGCACCACTCCCCAGGGCCCACCCACGCTCTGCCAGTCCAGCCTCCTTCCTTCCCACCCCTTCTCTACCTGCCCTGGCCTCTGGGCCTAGCTATTCCCTTCTGAGCCGATCCAGCCCCTCCTTAAATCCCACAGGCTGACCCTCCCCCTCCAGCCTGGAAGCAGGGACAGGGTCTCACCGCAGGTGGGCTTCCAGGACTCGGTCTAAGCTCTTGTAGAAGGGCCGGGAAGTGTAATAGCCTGTCCAGTAATGATCCTCCCGGTCCGCATAGGAGAAGAAATCCCCGCTCAGCACAGGAAACCCTGGAGGCCGGGCCCCTGGCTCCACCCCTGTCCTCTTGTACAGGGCATCAAAATAGTCAGAAAGAGTGCCAAACTGGGCCTGTGGGAACCCCAAAAACCCACTCCCATCAGTTCTAGAGCCTCCTGGAAATTGTGGCCACAGTGCTGCAGTCAGGGGTGAGGCTGGGGCTCTGGCCTCAGAAGCAGGAACTGTATATCCTGCCATTCTGGACTTAACAGAAGTGGGGGAGCCTGGGAATTAATTCTGACACAAAAGAGGCACCTTGCCCAAGAGTTGGGAAGAAACCCCTGCTTTGGAGTTGGGAACCCAGGGCACGGTCTCACAGGAAGGGGTGGGCTGCAGCACTGCGAGGTCCCCTCCCCAGACAAGTTCCCCTCACACCTGTACATGGAGGTTAGGCCTGCTGTTGAAGAAGTCAAAGAGCCGCTGGTAGTTGAAGAACTGGGCATCCCACTCCTGGGGCTTGTCATATCGGAAGTCATCTCCAAGAGGCACGAGGAGGACGTTGCTTCGGAACAGCCGGGACTTCTTCCGGTATTGGTCCAGGAGCAGGGCTGCCCTGGGGCAGGAAAAAAACATGGGCCCAACATGAAGTGACATCAGTAAAAGAGCGCCACGCACAGCCATCCCACCAGCAAGCCCCTGGAAGACATCCCGTCCATCAAGGAGTGGTTCAGCGCAGATGGACATCTCCTGCACATGAATACCAGCCCCAGGGAAATCCAGTGTTCTCTGGGCAGTTCTGACAGCCAGAATGTTGTTTTTTATGCTTAGGCTGTTGAGATCTTTTGGGATCCTTGTTCTGACACTCCCACCTCATTTGGCCCACAAGTTAGTGATGCAGCACCAGAGTTAAGAGTCTGGATCCCGAAGCCACATCACACCAGCTCCGCAAGTACTAGCTGAGTGACCGTGGGCAAGTAACCTCTCTGAGCCTCCGTGTCTGGCAAAATAAGGATAACATCAGTAGGTACCCATATAACGTTATGAGAATTAAAATGGATTGAATGGGCTGAGCGCAGTGGCTCACGCCTGTAATCCCAGCATTTTGGGCGACCAACGCAGGCGGATCACCCGAGGTCAGGAATTCAAGACCAGCCTGGCCAACATGGTGAAACCCCATATCTACTGAAAATACAAAAATCAGCCAGGTGTGGTGGCGCACACCTGCAATCCCAGCTACTTGGGAGGCTGAGGCAGGAGAACCACTTGAACCCAGGAGGTGGAGGTTGCAGTGAGCCGAAATCACACCACTACACTCCAGCCCGGGGGACAGAAACTCCGTCTCAAAAAAATAAAATAAAATAAAAATTAAATGAATGGAATGAATATTTGTTAAACACTTAGAACAGTGCCTGGTACATAATAGGAACTATACATAAACATTTATTTTCTTTTCATCCAAATTATTGGCAAAATCAGCAGAAAAACAGCCCTGTGGCATATCAGCAGAAGCCCTTTCCTGCTTTAATTGGCATGTTATAAATATCACAACCCAAAGAGTCAACTAATCTACTTAGCGGCGCTGGCCCAGCTTGTACTTTTCTACTTTGTTCTTGTGAGAGGATTCCTCAAATACTACTTTCCCCTAACTTACCAGTCTAGTAAGCCTTTCAAAGGAGAAAATGATTACCTTTCAGGGCCTGTTCTTACAAACCCAGGCCAGCCTCACTGATCACAACTGCCGCTTTAAGAAACATCAAGCCTTCATAGCCCTAGACTCTTGCCTGGAATCAGCATTTAGACTTCTGGAAACAAAAGACCACTTTATTTCCCTTTTGGTCACGTGTTTCAACTCTTGGACATCAGGGAGAAATCAAAGCATTGCAACATAAAAACCAGTCCAACTTGTTGTATTCTTAAGGTTCTGACTAAATTGCTGTTTGGATCAACTCTTCATCAACACTTTCGCCTGGGCCCTGATTTCAACAAGAGTGATATATTTAGGGGTCCCTAAATTTTCTCAAAGGGGACAGGTCTGTTTTCTCAGAGGCTGGAGGCTATCTTGCGGGACTGAATATGGATCTGAACAGGATTCTCGTGGTTGACTTAAAGCCAAGTCAGAACACTGGCACTAAGTGAAGACACAAGAGCCTGAAGTTTGTAAGCTACAATGCCTAACAAGGGAATCATTCACCTCTAAGCTGTCACCTTGCCCTGGCAGTTTGTTAGAGCACCAAAAAGTACTCACGTGAGAAAATAAAAGTATTCTGTGAAAGGTGGTTGCTAGAGCCATTCGTTTTTCAGGAGACTTAGTAAGGAGCTGCTGCAGATGCTGTGAGCCTCAACTCACCATCTGAGCCCACCCTCCATGTGGCATGGCCCAGACCAGAGCCAGGCCTCCTGATTCCTCTGTGAAGTGAAAGGGCTGGAAGCAGATACCTCTCTGCCACATTGGCCTCTGTAATGGCCCGGGGTGGCACCTTCCAAGGGCAGTTGATGCGCCCACCAGGCAGGCGTTTGAAATCAAATTGGCAGCAGATCTTGGGATCCGGGCCACAGGTATGGGGGACGTCATAGCTGTAGAAGGGCATCATGTGACAGAAGATGTCTGTGCTGGAGTCCGAGTCTGCAGAAGACACACCACGTGGTCAACGCCAGCAGGCAGCCTTTGGATGTCAGGAGGGCAAGGATCTGCTTGGGCAAAAGGCAGCCTTGATAGACCATGAGGCTGTAACTGGACCTAGGGCCGGAGAGAGTGTGTAGGCCAGGGGGAAAGACATGAGGCACTCCTTCAGGGAATGGGCACACAGGGCACACTGAAGCCCTTGGGACAGCAGGCCCTGTAGAGGCCAGAGGTCAATGTGACCCTCCCCTAACCAGAGGGTGGGACCATTTCTGGCAGTCCACACCAGTGCCTGCAAGTCTGCTCTGAAGAACAGTGGGGGTCTTAGTTCTGATATCCCTGCTCTTCCCCAGTGAAGACTATGCTGCGTTGACCCCCTCTACCCTACCTGGCCTTACCCCATGTCTGCCTCCACATGAACTCTAGGCTGTGGGTGGCAGCAAAGTGCTTCTTGATGGCATAGTGCACTCTCTGAATCAGCATGCTGGTGAGGTTGGCACGGCGCAGCAGGTAAGGCATGGTGGAGCTGTGTCCAAAGGGGTCCACTGCCCAGCCAGAGCGGGGGGTTGCACCTGGGTAGGGCATGGAAGCCAGAGAGGCCCTGAACACACCTCAGGGCCTGGTCTCTCAGCCTCCCAGGTGCTGGGACCCCAGCTCTTGTCTTGGTAGTCAGTGGACAGATTACATCACACCAGGCCCACATGATGGGATCTGTCTAGAAAGGAACCACCCCCTGCTGATCCCTGTGCCTTACAGCCCCCTGCCATAGCACTGTGGGCCCAGTCCAGGGGGCAGACCCCCATGCCTGGGCCTGGACTCACCAAGATTTCTCTCCAGCCACTGATGTCCTTCAATGAGCTGGTCAATCAATGCAAAGTAGTGGGAGTTGGCCTCATCCGGCATCACCCAGCCTCCTGTCGCAATCTCCAGCTGCCCGTTTCCCACCAGCCTATAGTTAAGGACTCACACTCAAGATGGAGCAGGACGCTTTGCCCAGGCCTGGCAACAAGAAATTGTCAGGGCCTGTGTGCACTGGCCTCACTGAACCAGTTCTCCCAAGCCCAGGACCAAGAGAACATACACTTGCCCTCCTTTCCTTGCAGCCAACCTCCCTGCTGTTCTGGCCCCGCTTATCTCAGAACCTTTATCTGTTCTTGCCTTCCCTCCCTCCAACATCACTCATCTCTGCCACAGCTCCCTGGGCCTCTCCCTGCCACCTTGGCACCCACAGCTTAAGGTAAGACCCATCCACCCAGCCTAGGGCTCAGACGATGCCCTCCCACGCCTCTCCGCCTGGCACTGGCCTTCGGACTGCCGCTCTCTTTTGGGCATTGATGTTGTCCCACCACTTGGCGAAGAAGGAGACCTCTGCCCAGAGGAAGCGCCGCCGGGGGTCCTCCTGCAGCTTAGACACCATGCTATTGAGGATGTGTTGGGTCTGCTCTGTGTAGTACTTGTCAAAGGTCTTGATCCAGCCTAGGGAGCCAATGTAAGATCCCCTGAGGATGCCACCATCTTCTTCGACATCCCTCCCTTGCACTGGCCATCAGAAATCCCACTCCACACTCCAGCTCCCAGGAGTCTGCGGGGCCCTCACCTGGGTCATTGTGAGAGTGGGGCACCACAAACACCTGCAGATCTTCAGCATCCCAGTCGTGCGGGTCATAGGAGATGTCGAAACCTTGCCTCCACACGCCACCATCCACGTTGTCAAACGGCAACTCCTCCGACACAGTGAGCATCTGCCAGGTGAATTGCAGCTCAGTGCCCCAATTGTGGCCGCTGTACATCCCTGCCAGCTCTGACTCTTACCTGCAGCTCTGGCTTCTGGCCCCGGCCCCCCAAAGCAAACTGGCAGTCCTGGGGGGAGATGGAGAAGAAGCTGGGCCGGGGCTCCGGTGGCACCACCCAGGAGCCATTGACCGTGTAGTAGGGCAGCATGGCGGGCGGGCCCTCTGCATTGGCTGTCAGCTCCAGCACGGAGTCCTTGATATGGCTGATAATCTCATGGTTCTCCTCCAAAAGCTGCTCCAGCTGCTCAATGCGGTTCTGCAGCACAGAAATTTGGCTCTGCCAAAAAACCAAAAAGCAATCACACACAGCTCCTTATGCCACAGGGAGGGTCTCTGCTTGGGGTTCACCAGCTGAGGTCTAACTACAATTCTTCCCTCATCAGTTAAAGCCAGACCATGAGCCTACAGGGATAGATTATACCATTCAGACAAAGGGAGCTGTGCACCTCACCACGGAGGACTACACTCCACTTGGGTTGGGAGAACCTTCACTGTCTAGCCCAGGGCAAAGATTTCCTTTCACATACCTGTTCTCAACAATCAGTGTTGTCTGTGCTGAGAAGGATTTCAGTGGGGCTTAATGGCAAAGAATGCTGCAATCAATTAGCAATGTCTGCCAAGAATTCAAGAGGGGCTGGGCACAGTGGCTCACACCTGTAATCCCAGCACTTTGGGAGGCCGAGGCAGGTGGATCACCTGAGGTCAGGAGTTCAAGACCAACCTGGCCAACATGGCGAAACCTCATCTCTACTAAAAATACAAAAAGTAGCCAGGCATGGTGGCAGGCTCCTGTAGTCCCAGCTACTCAGAGGCTGAGGCAGGAGAATCACTTGAACCAGGGAGGTGGAGGTTGCAGTGAGCCAAGATTGCGCCACTACACTCAAGGTTGGGCGACAGAGCGAGACTCTGCCTCAAAAAGAAAAGAAAAGAAAAGAATTCAGGAGAACAGAGCGACAATACTCATTGCCATTGACATTTTTTTTCTTCCTTCCTTCTTTTCGCCATCACTGTTTTTAGCTGAGGTTTCTACAAAACCTGACTATTGCTCCTGTCCTGTACTGACATTACCCTCCAGCGGGGTGGTGGGGGGTGTCGGTGGGGGGAGGGGGGCGGGCAATACCCTGAACCCAGGTGACTTGTATACAAAGAAATTAGCAACCAGGCACGACTCACCCGGGGGAAGTTCCCACCATTCTGGTGTCGAGTGGGATCATGCTGCACTCGGTCCAGCATGAGGTAGAGCGAGAAGACTGCCACACAGAAGATAGCAGCCCCACACACTGTCACCTGCTTTTTCAGCTTCATACTGGCCTCCACATACACCTGGCAGGAAGGACACCATCTGTACCTCCAGCATGCAAAATCCCCATGGCAGTCTTTCCACCAAATGCCCCAGTGAGTTCCTAAGGGCTGTTCCCAAGGAACACCCATTTGCCTGGCTCTAATAAAAAGCCAGCTTTGAAATGCCAAAACCCAACACCAGTTGGGGATCCTGACCCAGCCTTGATTTTACTGTCTTGCTGAGACTCAGAGCACAAGTAGCACATCTGGGGCTGGCCCCACCTGGTCCTGGTAGCAGCTCTGCCCCTAGGGTGGAGAGGACGTTCTCCTTTGGCTGGTGCTGTGAAAAATGGGCCCAGGATGAGAGACCCAGCTCTGACTGGAGTGTGCCACACAAGCTCCTGATTACAACAGCTTCCCTGCCTAGATAGGAGGTGCCTGTTCAGGCTCCTCGGCCATGTGCTTCTAGTTTCAGGTGAATAAGCTGGTTTCTATTTTGTTTGATTTAAAAGTTTAGCCAGAACCCAAAGAGACTAATAGGAAAGTCTTTCTCAGTGCCCTTTAGGGTCAAACTGGCACTCACCAGAAACAGCGCCTGGCACAAATCCTTTCTCAGAAACACAGAATGCATTTCTTTCTAATAAAGAAGAAAGATGCTTGTGTTTCTAGCATAAAGCAAGCCCTATGTGTTCTCCCTGTTCGTATACTGATTCCTGCAGTGGGAAACTTCCAGCCGCGGTTTGCAGAGCACTTAGGGGACCCCTAGGAAGCCTACAGTGATGCCGAAGGCCCCCTGGGAAGGGAGAGACCGGGTCCAGTGCTCGGTTGCGAGGCAACTTCAGGGGACCCGTGCCCCCAGCCGCCACCGCCCTCAGGCCCCGCTTGCCTGCTCAGGAGGAGGGAGGACGCTAACTGCCGAGCCGAGCGTGGGCGGGACGGCGCTCCGGAGTCTGCTCCGCGGGCCCTGGGGCCGAGAAGCTCTGTCGCCTCTGCGTTGTGCCCTACTTAGCGCGATCTGATTCTGCTCGGGAGCCTTCGGGCAATATTTTTAGCCGTTAGAGACTGGGTCCAGGCCAGTGTGGGTGGAGCTGGGGAGAGAGTTGGATCACAGAGGACAGGCACCTGCCGCCGCGTCTCT